GCCCCCTCCGCCGGCTGTCTCAGAGCCAGAGCCAGCGACCCGTCCAGGCTGACACGAGACTGGAGCCAGGGCTGAAATGAGATGCTGGAGCACCCCAGATGCTGGCGTAGGGTGTCTATTCCCTGGCCACCCCTCATCATCCCAGGTGACGGGAGGCTGACGGCTCCGCTGTCAAAGCAACACCAGCCACAGTGGGGAAAGGCGCTCTGCAAACGGAGCATCCCTTTGGGGGCTGCATCAAAAACCACCTTCAGGGGTAACGTTAGACCTGGAGCCCTCTGCTGGGAAATATTCCCCTGGAGACCAGAAGACAGCGGCTTGACGCCTGCCCCGGGAAGGCTGGGCTGTTTGTGCAGGGATGGGTCTGAGCCCCGTGACGCAGGGCTGGGGCAGCTGCAACGAGCCGACACCGGGTCTGCCCCCGCGCCGTGGCGTGGCCGTGGGACGCTGCTTGACAGGCGGATCCCAAGGGAAAAAGGCAAAGGACTGCTTCAGATCAAACAGGCACAAAAGGCAAACAAGGCATCCCGGCCCCGAGCGGGAGGGTGAGGCTGGGACAGAGCCTGAGAAGGCCCCGGCCGCCTGTGCCAACCCAGCAGCTCCGGCCCCGCTCTCCCAGGGTCTGCCTGGGAGAGGGGAGAAGAGACGAGTGACTCTGCGGCAAGGAAAACCCAGCTGGAGGGATCCAATCTGGGCAGCTTTATCACTCATTTCAAAAAAGGCCACTATCAGGGGAAAATAAGTGGAGTAAGCAGAGAGGTAGGAAACTGGGAAAGCCAAAGGGGCCCACCGGGAGCCTACCGGAGCAAGGCAAGGGCTGAGGAAGTCCTCACCTTTCCGTGAGCGAAGTTCCTCACCTGTTTTTGAGGAAATGGTGCAAAAAGGAGATGTTTGCTAGATTATGTAGTTTGCTCCTTCCTCTTTTCCCACCGGGAAATCTGGGTAAAGGTGAAGCTTCCCACACACGCACTGTACAAACCCTGCCACGCTTCATCAGCGTTCGATTTTGCAGAACTGTCTCTTTACGCTTGGGATCCTTTTGCTTTTGGCAAAGGTTTCTGGAAATGCTTAAAAGGCTGCAGGAGCACAACCCCCATTAGCTGTCCATGAGGTTTGCTCTTTCACCAAGCAGGTGTCCTCAGTCCTCTCAGTCCAAGTTCCCTAGCGCACGTGGCCTCAGCGCTGCCGGCTCAGCCCCCTCAGCCAAGCAGCCTGGGACATGCAGAGATGGCAAGTTTGGGTCAGGCTGGAGCAAAGTATATATTCACAAGGAACACAGACCCCTCCCCACCCCTGCCGCCGGTGGAGCGCCTCTGACTGGAGATGGTCTGGGGGAAAGCGAAGCACAAGAGGGACTGAGGGCTGTTGAGCATCCTCCATCCCCTGGCTGGGGACTAGCCTTGGACAGCCTTCAGCAAATCAGGACAAGCCATTTGTGACCTGCTGGGGCTGGCCAGGGCCATGCCCTGGTACATGGAGAACCAGTGCCAACCTGGCCTTAATGAAACTGGGAGCTTCTGGCAGAGGCGCTTGCACTGCTGATGATACTGCTGGGGTCTCACACAAATCTGGGCGAGGAGGCAGGCAAACCTGGGCAGGCAGGAGCACCGGGGTGCCCAGCAGCAGGACAGCCACGAGGCCAGGCTGTCTGCACCCAGTATGGTCACAGCACCTGCTGGCATCTGCTCCACAGAGCCCACCTCCCACCCAGTGTCCCATGGCCCTGGGGAACACGTGCACTCGCAGCCCTGTGTGGGGGCTGTGCAGGGATAACTGTGCACCCCAAAACCAGGACGTGGGCTGAGACCTAACACACTCGTGGCACGTGTAGCGCAGTCGTGGTCGCCTCTTCCTTGCCCCATTGCGCCGGTGAGGGGCTGAGGCCCCGGACTCCCCCCAGCAGGGGTGTGTTTGACAGACAGCCCTTCTCCAGTCTGCCGAGAGCCATCCCCTTCCTCCCTTCCCGCTCAGCACATCCCGGTGCCCAGCTCCGGGCGAACCTCTCGCCAGCCGCGCTCCCGGCGGGCTCTCCCCTCCCTCCCTCCTTCGAGGCAGGGTTAACGCTTCACCCGCCCGTGCTGGCTGAGAAGGAGGGAGCTGGAGGGAAAGCGGCATCGCTCCTCACCTTTTGTCGCTTTGGATGCTCCCTGCTCTCCCTCCCTACCGCTGCCGAGACCGTCTCCGGAGCACGAGAAAAAGTGCCAGAGGAGGGAGTGCATAGCAACAGGGTTCTGGGATGAAGAAGATTCGGCAGCAGCATCTCCGCAAGGTGAGAGCTGGCGACCGGCGCGGGGTCTGACCTGCAGCCCTGGTGCCCTGCCCGCGCCCGCCATCTGCTCGCTCCGCAGGGAGCCTCCGAGCAGAGCTGGGAGACTTCTCCTTCGCACGGACGGCGGGTGGGCAAAGCGTGGGGCCGATCTGCCGGCTGCAGCAGGGATCGGGCCCCACTTAAGGAGGCAGCTGAGGGCCACTTCATTATGACCTCTTGCTGATTAGCAAGTTCGGTAAACATGGAGGCCCCATGCCGTGTCGTGAGCTGGCAGGTCCCTGCTCGCGCTAGGAGGATGCTTTGGCGTTTCCCCCACCGCACGCAGGTGTTCCTGGCGGGATGATTCATGTTGTGTCTGGCTGGGCAGCCGGGGGTGGCAGGTGGGTGCAGAGCTGTCTCCCTGTGACGCGGGTCCCCGGGACACTGGGGGCAGCAGGATGCACTGCTCCTGCCAGCCTCGGGTGCTGCCCAGCTCCATGGGGGAGGACAGGGGATGCCAGCGTGGCTCTCCCGTTCTGTGGCACGGGCTCCTGTCCTCTGCTTGCTCCTGACCTCCCCTCACCTGTCTTTTTCCCCGTGCACCTTGCTCTGCACCTCTGGGACCCTTCCTCGTCCCCGTGGCCCTTGCAAAAGGCAGCGTAGGGCGGCTGCATCGTGGCTTACAGGCATGGTGCAGGGGGACATCAGTGCCAGTGGAGCAAGCACAAGGAGGTGTCAGCGACTTTCCTACCTCCCTGTGGGATTTCCTCCTGTGGTGTAGGGTTTAAAGGGATGCAGGTGGAGCTGGCTCTTGCACTCACCTCGTGCCCCTTGGAGGCTGGCAGAGGAGCTGAGAAACACTATTCACACCCTCTGCTTTCGGGCTTTTCCGTCCCCGACTCGGTCTCTCTGCTGCTGCCGGGCAGCCCTCCACGTGCCTTTGCTCTCTCGCGCTCTCTGGCTTCCCATCACCCATGTTGGGGTCCGACCCCACCTTGTGCCCAGCCTGTGTGGGACCCGCTGGCGGTGGCAGGGTTGAGGGTACCAGTTGCAGCTCCCCAATGGCAACATGTCGCTGCTCCTGGCGTTTGGCACTTACTGGAGCAGCGCCCAGAAGGTGTGAGCGCCTGGGCGATGCTCCGGGCTGCGATGCCGCTCCCTGCGTCGTGCTGGGCTAATACCAAACACGGGGCACGGTGCCTCCAGCCCCAACGGATGCCGAACACCGTGTGGGCAGCTGGGCAAATGAAAACCCAGCATGGCCTGGTCCCTGCCAGGAAATTCCCAGGATCTGGGGCATGACGTGAAAAGCCAGCATTGGCCTGGTGAAACCCTGCAGATACCTGATGGCTCCAGCAGCCTTGGGGCATCCTGCTTTCCTCCCAGTGCTCTTTGGAGGCACTCTCCAGCCCTTCCCTCTCCTCTTTCCTACAAATCGCTTTTTCAGATGACTTTGTGACTGCAAGATCCATTAAAAGTTGTCTCTGTCCCTTCCAAAGGCTTTGAGAGATACTTGAAATAATTTCCCTGCTGTTAGTGATCCTGTTCAACATTTCTTCAGGAATTCATTTAATCCCCGAGTGATCAGCTCGAATGAAAAGCAGATGTCTCCAGGGTTATTTTCCCCCCTTCCTGGTGCTGCTCAGGGCCCTGAGAGCGCCCGTCCGTCCCGGTGCTTGCTGTCCCCGGTGCCTTGGGGCGGCCGTCTCTGACCTGCCCCTGGCGTCACTGCACGAGTTCACGCGGCACCGACTGTCCGGCCTGGCCCTCGCCCCCCC